TATTTCTTTCTTCTGGGGGAGGGGCTTCCCACAGTCCTTTTATTCTAATGAATGAATAAGATTGAAGGACACCATGAAAGTCATTTAAACTCTAGCTCTGCCTCTCTTTCTCCTACACAAATGGTCACATCATACCATGTAGTAATGGATGGGGTGGCCATGCTGAAATCAGGATGAAATACCATTAATATGCATTAGATTTAAAGCTTGCATTTCGTTCAGGAATTTGATGCAGCATATGTAGTGGCTCCCTTTTTCTATCTTTTCCCAGAACAACAACCTGGATTATTAAACACATGAAATCCTCCTCAGGTTAAAAATTAAACTATTAAAAAGTTACAGTTTGGAGTAAGGCAGTTCTGCGCTAGCTATAATACTATTTGCTTGGCTGTGGCTTAATGAAAATTCAGCCATTGTGGCTCTTTAATCATGGTTAACGGCACAGCATGAATGATAAACTCTAAAGTGGCTTTTCAACAAGCTATTATTTAAAACACCCTGCCTAAAAGTGAGACAATTTTGTATAGATAAACTAAAAGAAAGCAGAATGTTGTGGTTTTTAAAAGAGCCATTCTGACTTTTGGGAGCCTGTAGCTCCCTCTGGTGTTCTTGTCTTGCAATGTGACTTTTCAAAGTTTATGGAGAAATCCACAAAATATACACCAGGCAACGTTTTAAATCATGTACCATAGACTGCAAATTTCTTGGAAATAGAATGGACTTTTCTAATTGTAATTTTACCGCTAAATCTGTTTTTATTTTCCAAGCTGAAAGGTTTGATTCTTTATTAAAGGGATGTTTTCTCCCAATGGTGAAAATAATTGTTTTTTTACTATCAGTTCTATGGGCGTAGCTTGGTGGGCATGGCAGGGGAAGGATACTGCAAAATCCCCATTCCCGCCCCACTCCAGAAGGATATTACAAAATCCCCATTCCCTCCCCACTCCTGGGGGAAGGATACTGCAAAATCCCCATTCCCTCCCCACTCCTGGGGGAAGGATATTGCAAAATCTCCATTCCCACCCCACTCGGGGACCAGCCAGAGGTGGTATTTGCTGGTTCTCCAAACAGATCAAAATTTCCGCTACCGGTTCTCCAGAACCTGTCAGAACCTGCTGGATTTCACCCTGTTTTCTCCCCTACCTATTGTGCTGGGTTCTAGGAATGTAACATTGTTAGTTTTCACACACATCCAGCTAATTTATTTAGATTATATAGAGTTACTAGAATCCTACTAGTAATTCACTTAACAACTGTGGCAAGAAAAAAATGGGGCAAAACTGATTTAACCACTGTCTGGCTTTGCAATGGAAATTTTAGCTAAATTGTAGTCGTAATTCGAGGACTTTCTGTGTAAGGAAAGGCACCAGAGTCTGTCGGTCCATCCATTTAACGATTGCAGTGATTCACTTAATAACCCTGCTAAGAAAGGTTGTCAGATGGGGGCAAAACTCACTTAACAACTGTCTCACTTAGCAAGAGAAATGTTGTGGTCGTAAGGCGAGGACTAATGATAGATCCCATGCATTTATTTCTTAGTCCACCTTGTCTCCAGCAAGCTCAGAGGGGCAGAGATGTTTCTTCTTGCCTTAACTGATTCCACAAATTTACGTGGATCCATCCATCTATCTTAGGTTGTTAGTTTGAGGTCCGAGCTTGGCAATTTAGTTTCAAACATTTTGTCACCATTCAAGGAGACATTGTCAGTGTGTTTTGAGTTGTGCTCGTCTGTCAGAACACAGGTCTTTAAATACCATTTTATGAGATTCAAAGACATTTCATATGTATAGGTATAGGTATGTGTGTGTATTTCTTTTGAGAGTGGACATCAGAATTTCCTTTTTTTTATTTTGCGTGCCAGTGTGTTCACAGAAAAAAAAGTGACAATAAAGGTTATCTTACCATAAAAGAGTGTGTGGCTCCACATCAAATAACAAATCCACAAACAAAGATGAAATCCAGCCTCCCCAGTCTTCATCCTGGATTAATTGGAGGTTGCTTGAGGAAACACAATCACAGCCATAAGGATACGTTGCACAGATTGAACTGCGATGGTAAAATGATGATAAAAGGCTGGGAACATTTTCACTGATGGCCTTTATTGGCACCCCAGGAAAAGTGATGCCCACGTGCCGAGACCTGTTAAGAATTTTTTTTTAAAGTGCTAACATAATCCAAGATCTGAAGTTCTTCGCTCTGCACTTCAGTGCAAGTGGTTTAATTTGAAAATGCTGCCAGATGGCTGGCAGAGGGTGGCTGGCAAAGATATACAGAGAAGCAGGTTTGTGCACCTTGGGGGAAAAACACACCTGTGTTTAGGTTGGAAGAGCAGAAGGAAAACACCTAGAATTCCATCTGGGAAATTTAGTTCAGGTAAAACATTCCACATCTGGTTGTAAATAGAATTGGCTTAAAGCAGGGTTCCCCAACCTTGGCAACTTTAAGCCTGGAGGACTTCAACTCCCAGAATTCCGCTGGCTGGGAAATTCTGGGACTTGAAGTCCTCCAGGCTTAATAGAATAGAATAGAATAGAATAGAATAGAATAGAATAGAATAGAATAGAATAGAATAGAATAGAATAGAATAGAATAAGGGAAGGGAAGGGAAGGGAAGGGAAGGGAATAGAATAGAATAGAATAGAATAGAATAGAATAGAATAGAATAGAATAGAATAGAATAGAATAGAATAGAATAGATTTTTTTATTGGCCAAGTGTGATTGGAATTTCTCTTGGTGCATATGCTCTCGGTGTACATAAAAGAAAAGATACGTCTATCAAGAATCATAAGGTACAACACTTAATGATAGTCATAGGGTACAAATAAGCAATCAGGAAACAATAACAATATAAATCATAAGGATACAGCAACAAGTTAAAGTAATGCAGTCATAAGTGGGAGGAGATGGGTGATGGGAACGATGAGAAGATTAATAGTAGTGCAGACTTAGTAAATAGTTGGACAGCGTTGAGGGAATTATGTGTTTAGCAGAGGGATGGCATTCGGGGAAAAACTGTCCTTGTGTCTAGGTGTTCTAGTGTGCAGTGCCCTATAGTGTCGTTTTGAGGGTAGGAGTTGAAACAGTTTATGTCCAGGATGTGAGGGGTCTGTAAATATTTTCACAGCCCTCTTTTTGACTCGTGCAGGATACAGGTCCTCCATGGAAGGCAGGTTGGTAGCCCTTGTCTTTTCTGCAGTTTTAATTGTCCTCTGAAGTCTGTGTCTGTCTTGTTGGGTTGCAGAGCCAAACCAGACAGTTATGGAGGTGCAGATGACAGACTCAGTAATTCCTCTGTAGAAAGTTGCCAAGGTTGGAGACTCCTGGCTTAAAGGTATCCTATCAGATCTTTGGATCCAGGCGTGGAGCATAGCGAGCCAGTTTGGTGCAATGGTTAAGCCAACGTGAGCTCTAAGCCAACTTTAGTCGGCTGGGTGTCCTTGGGCCAGCCACACCTTCTCAGCCCTGGGAGGAAGGCAATGGCAAACCACTTCTTGAAAGATGGTTTCAGAAAGAAAACTGCAGGGATTTGTCCAGGCAGTTGCTGGGAGTCAGCAAATGCACACAAACACACAGAGAGAGAGAGATCTGTGTTAAGATAACATGGGAATATGTTATCTTAATGCAGATTGAGAGATTGGATAACCATTTGTCTGAAGTGGCGTAGGGTTTCCTGCCTAAGCAGGGGGATGGACTAGAAGACCTCTAAGGTCCCTTCTAACTCTGCTATTCTAAATTGTAAATGTTGAAACCCTCCCAGCCAGTGAGGACCTGGCTGAAAAACCGAGCTAATGGGACTACAAAAATTCATATCGAGACTGTAAAGATGACCGGCTCAAGGTTGACTCAGCCTTCCGTCCTTCCGAGGTGGGTGAAATGAGGACCCAGATTGTTGGGGGCAAAGAGGCTGACTCTGTAAACTGCTTAGAGAGGGCTGTAAAAGCACTGTGAAGCGGTATATAAGTCTAAGTGCTGTTGCAATTACATGTAGTCCTTGACTTAGAACAGTTCATTTAGTGACCTTTTGAAGTTACAACGGCACTGAAAGCAGTGACTTATGACCGTTTTTCACACTTATGACCGTTTTTCAGACTTACGACCATTGCAGCATCTCTACTATCATGTGATCAAGATTCAGACGCTTGGCAACTGACTCACATTCATGACGGTTGCAGTGCCCCCCCCCCCGGGTCACGTGATCCCTTTTTGCAATCTTCTGACCAGCAAAGTCAATGGGGAAGCTGGGTTCACTTAACGATGGGTTACTCACTTAACAACTGCAGCAAGAAAAGTCATTAAACGGGGGAAAATGCACCTGTCTCACTTAACAACATAAATGTTGGGTTCAATGGTGGTCGTAAGTGGAGGGCAAGTAAAATTTTGTGTGAATGCAGAGGGGGGGGAAAGGGGGAGGGGAACCTGCAAGGAAGGCTAAGGCAGTGGTGTGAACCCAAGGGGGAAAAAAAATAAACTGGATACGCGGCTTATGCATGCTGGAGGAAGCCAGATTTAGAGATCTCCTTCGATCCCTTTTTTTATTTTTATTTTTTTGCAAAGTCGAAAAAGCCGCCTTTGCCATCCGTCCCCGAGCCACGCCCACTCTTTCCAAGCTCCACTTCGGATTGGCCGAGAGGGGAAGACTCTCGCCGCCCCCTCCCCTCCGCTCTTGGTGCAATGGTTCGGTCCGAGCCAGAGCCGCGCCCCCGAAGCGGCTTTAAACCCCGCCCTTCCCTCTCTTTCTTCCAATCACGCCCCGTTTTCTCGATCTAACGAGCCTTCCCATTGGCTCCCCAACGGAACCCCACCACTGAGAAAGAGTGGAGGGGGGGGGCAAGGAGGAGGAAGGGAAAGGACTCGGAAGCTTTCTCTCAGCCTTGAGAGTGAGGCGTTCTCCTGTCAAAAGGAGGGAGGAGGAGAGGAGAGCGCAGGCGCGACAGGGCGGGGCAGGAGCGGCCGAGGGCGGGGGGGCGGGGGCGGAAGCGTCTCGCGACGGCCGCGGGGGCTGCCGGGAGAGGCCGGAAGCGGCGCTGTTGCCGCGGCGGCGGCGGCGGCGGCGGGTCCAAGATGGCGGTGCAGGAGTCGGCGGCGCAGCTCTCCATGACGCTGAAGGTGCAGGAGTACCCCACGCTCAAGGTGGGCCGCCTCGCCTCGCCCCCCCCCCGCTCCCCTCAGGGGGACCCTCCCTCCTCCCCTCCTCCCCTCCCCCTCCTCAGCCCCTCCCCTCGGAGCCCCCCCCTCCTCCCCCTCCCCCACCGCCAGGCCTTTGTGGGGAAGGGAGGGCGAGGCTGCTGCTTCCTCCCCGCCCAGGAGGAGGAGGGGAAAAAAAAAGGGGGTGGGGGTCCCCGGGAGGGGAGGAGGAGGAGGAGGAGGGGGCGCCGCCCTGGAGGGTCTTTTGAGGGGTCTTTCCGCTTCACCCCCCCCGTCCCCTCCCCTTCCCAAAGGTAACACAAAACGGGCCTCCTGATTCTCCCCCCCCGCTTCCCCACAGCAACAACAACCCTGTGAGGTGGGCTGAGAGGAAGAGAAAAGACGCTGAAAGGAGGGGCGGGGGCGAAACACCCCTCCCCCTCAGACTAGTGAGTCCTCGACCTACGACCACCAGGGAAAGCCCCTCCCCCCCCAGTTGCTCAGCGAGACGTTTCTTCAGTGGAGGTTTTGCCCCCGTTTTTTTTTAACGACCTTTCTGGCCACGGCTGCTAAGCGAGTCGTCGCACGGTCGTTAAGTGAATCTGGTTCTCTCCTCTCTTCTTTCCCCTCCTCCTCCCCCCCCCCTTGACTTTGGTCGTCGGAAGGTCGCCCAAGGGGATGGATCACGTGACATTGTGACCGTCATAAATAGGAGTCGGTGGCCAAGGGTGCGAACTTGCGATCATGGGGGCAGGGGGTGGGGTGGGGATGCTGCTGCAACGGTCGTTAAGTGTGAAAAACGGTTGTTGCTTTCTTCAGTGCCGTTGTAACTTCGAACGGTCACTAAATGAGCTATAAGTCGAGGGTTAGCTGCACTCCTTTTGTTTGTGAGTTTGTTTAGTTATAAAATTTACTGGCCGCCCATCTTGCCATCGGGTGGTAATAACTCTGGGAGGCTTGCAGTGACAGCTAAGCCAAAACAAAAAAAAAAGTTAAAAATAAACATTAATGCTCATAATTATGAAATAAAGAATTACAGGTAATCCTTAACGTACAACAGTTCATTTTGTGGACATTCGAAGTTACAATGGCACTGAACAAAGTGACTTAAGACCATTTTTCACACTTAATGACCGTTGCAGAACCCTGTGATCAAAATTCAGGCCTTTGGCAACTGACTCATACTTATAACGGTCCCAGGGTCACATGATTGACCTTCTGACGAGCAAAATCAATGGGGGAGCCAGATTCACTTAACAACCGGGTGACTAACTTATCAGTTCCAGTGATTCGCTTAACAACTGTGGCCAGAAAAGTTGTAAAACAGGGCAAAACTCACTTAACAAATGTCTCACTTAGCAACAAAAATTTGGGGGCTCAATTGCCGTGGTAAGGTGAGGACTACCTGTAGTTGACTTTGTCACAGTGCTCTTAGACTCAGCCGTGGGATACTTTGGAGCCACTGATGGCCGCCTGGGCTGGTCCCTGCAGTTTCCTTGGCTTGCCATTGCCTCCTTCCCAGGGCTGAGAGAGAGTGACTGGCCCAAGGTCACCTACCTGGCTTCATGCAGAAGGCGGGACTACAGCTCTCAGTCTTCCGGCCTCTAGCTTGGTGCCTTAACATAGATCATACTATCATCGGGCTGGAAGGGGCTTCGGAGGTCTTCTAGTCTAACCCTCTGCTCAAGCAGGAGACCTTCTACCACTGTGGACAAATGGCTGTCCAGTCCCTTCTTAAAAACCTCCAATGATGGAGCACCCACAACTTCTGGAAGCAACTTCTGTTCCACTGGTTAACATAATGACAGAATAATATTTGAAGAGGGACTTCAGAGATCTTCTAGTCTAACCCTCTGCTCAAGCAGGAGATCCTGACCTATACCATTTCAGACAAATGATGGTCCAGTCTCTTCTTAAAAACCTCCAGTGATGGAGCATCCACAACTCCAGGAGACAAACTGTTCCATTGTTCTGTCAGAAAAATTCCCTTTACTTCTAGGTTACATCCCCTTTTAACAAGCTTCCACCCATTGCTCCGTGTCCTGCCTTCCGGTGCTTTGGAGAATAAGTCCATCCCCTCTTCTCTGTGACAGACCCTCAAGTCCTTGGAAGACGGCTATCCTGTCCCCTCTAGCCTTTCCCTTCAATAGTCCAGGCATTCCTAATTCCCTCAGCCATTCATAAGATGGTTTAGCCCCCCCCCCCAGGTCTCTTCTCCGCACGCTTTCCAGGGTCTCGACATCTTCTTTCTATCATGGTGACCAAAACTGGACTCAGTGTTTTAAGTGTGGCCTCACCAGCATTGAGAGAAGCACCAACCTGGCTCTCTGTGTAACCCTGCCATATTTTAAGATCCAAGTGAAGTGCTCTGAGACTTTGGGATGAAATTATAGACCAAGATTGAGGGGGGGATGCCTGGTCTGAAAAGCTCTTTTGGGCATTTCCTCCCTGTTTTTCTGGAAAGGAAACCTGTGATCAGCATGTCTGCCCTCTAAATCCCAGGGGCCCCAATTCACCTGGGAATCACTCCTCAGCTGAGTTGAGTGCCTTGAGGCTCTGAAATTACTGCTCTGGAAACCATTAGTGCCTCTGCTGAGGGTCAGAGCTTAGTTTCTTGGTGCAGGTTTCTGAAGCTGATAATGCACATGATAATGATGGAATTTCTGCAGCCCAATAGCCTTCACTTTCCAAGGCTGATTTTAATAATATGTTTGGTGGCTTCAGATCCACAAAACAGCCTGCAGAATTAACAGGTGGTGATGGTCCTACCGTTCAAGGGACATTTTACAGTTGGAGGCCCTCCCCAAAAGCCATGCATAAGATTGAAATGTCCTCAGAAGCCAGAGAAGCCTTCTAAAACTGTCTGGAGTTGTATGGCAGCCACCTACAGTACTAATGTTCAGGATGCAAACTTTAGGGTTCCAAGGAGTTGAGCTTCACTTGATTAAAAATGGAATTGTTATGAATAAAAAAGGACAAGGCTAAGGATAATTTTATTTCTATACCGCCCCTCTCCCGAAGGACTCAGGGCGGTGTACAGCCAGGTAAAAACACAATGCAAATATCACAATTTAAATTTAAAAATTATTAAAAGTATTACATTTAAGGCCAATTAACTAAAAAACACAAAAATTTAAGAACTCAGAATTTAAAACTCAATTATGAAGCTAGTCCTGCCTGTCGGAAGAGCAGGGTCCTAAGAGCACAGCGGAAAACTGCTCTTAAGAAAACAGCCCAAAGGCAGGGAGACGAGAAAGGAATGAATGATTTTTTTAAGAAATCAACATATTATTTTAAACCATGTTGCATTTGGGCTCCTTGTCAGCCTACGACCATTCAGGTGTATCTAAACTACCAGCCTTCCGATTGAGTAAATAGCCCACCCTTAGAAGGGGGTGGGATATGGAAGGAAGTGGAGTTTGGGCAGCAACAGTGTTTGATGGGGGGTGCTTAATTCCTGCTGATTTGCCTCTTGAAATAATATGAACCACATTGAACTAATCAAATTCTGCAGAGGCAGGACTAGTTTCTGCCTCTCCAAGCAAAGACAGCTCAAACCACCATACCAATCCATAATACGGCTGGGAAGGATTAATGTCATCAAGTAAAATAGGCCAAAGAAATTGCGACTTTTTTTGAATTCATATAAAAATTTTAAAAAGCTGACCTCCCCCCCCCACCACCTTAAGCCTAGGCTTCCCCTTTCGTTTTTAACAATCCTGTCTAGCCCGTTTACTCCACACAGTAGGAATAGAAATGTGAAATGGATTTTTAAAGATCTTGGTCATTATTATTCATAATAATCCAGCAGTGACTGATTTTTAAAATGTTGAATGCAGATAAGTGTCTTTAATATTTTTCTTAAGATGATTTGTGGGAGTGAATAATATTTACAATCAGAAATTACCTGTTTCTAATTATTGTGGTCTTTGGGATGAGAATATGAAGTTCAGGAAATAACAAACGACTGAAACTTCTTTGTTTGTTTTTTCTTAATTCCTGTTTATACAGAATGAACTTTTTCTAGGCTACCTTTATTTAGGCATGCAATCAGCCATACTGTAAACATCCCACTCTACTCAGAAACCCAGGAATCCAGAAATGTGGTTGTCATACATTTTGTTGGCTTTCTAGAGGCTACATTTACCTTTTAGTTTTGATTTTGTGATACGTTACTCTAGGAATTCCACACATAAGAATTGTCCAGAAATTAGATAATATAAAAAAAGAAAACATGGGGCTTGTTTCTGAATTACTATTGGTAGCCGTTACACTTTGAGTCTTCATTTTCTAAAGAAACAAAACACTCAAAATGGCTCCCAGCATTAATCTATTACAGTTAACAAAATTCAAGTATCAGGAAGAAATAAGCAGGTTAAAATAGATTTGCTTTTTTAAAAATCACACAAGTTACATAAGAGTCTTATCCCTATTTCAATTTTAATGCAGCTGACGGAGAAATACAATTCTTGTGATTTGTGTGATGGAATCCCAAATATTTGAAACATCTCTAAACACTGAATGGTTTCTTTGAAGTGCATAGAGAAGAACATGGATTAAAGTTCCTTCAGCGTGAGGTCTCTGGATGACATATATTCTTAAGGGATAATACAAAGTGTGTTAAAATCAAATGTTATGCTGCATTACGCCATTATAAAGAAGGGTAATGGAAAGCAATCAATATCTCTGGAAACTCTCAATTTATATTTAGCAGGTGTGTGGTAATACACACACACACAGAGAGAGAAAAATACATATAGAGAAACAGACACATGCCTACATACATACACCAGGAGCAAGGTTAAAGAGTTAATTTGGCTATAAGCAAGCTTATGGATACCATGGGGCTTTTTTTTTTTTTAAATTTGATTTATATGCCGCCCTTCTCCGGAGACTCAGGGCGGCTTAGAATGCGTTAAGCAATAGCCTTCATACTTTTGTATATTTATACAAAGTCAGCTTATTGCCCCCACAATCTGGGTCCTCAATTAACCTACCTTAGAAAGGATGGAAGGCTGAGTCAACCTTGAGCCTTGGCGAGATTCGAACTTGCAGTAATTGCAGGCAGCTGAATGTTAATAACAGGCTATTAGTCTGCTGCGCCACCAGGCTCTTTCATACATACAGTGTTTCCCTGAAAATAAGACCCTGTCTTATATTTTTTGGAACCCCGAAATAAGCGCTTGGCTTTATTTTCGGGGAGGTCTTATTATTTTGGGGCACGTGAAGCAAGATGGGGCTCCTCTTGCTGTCTTACCTGATTTCCAGCTCTGTGTTTAAATATTTTTGGGGAGGGCTTCTTTTTGGGGGGAGGCTTATTTTAGCGCATGCGTTCAAAAGCCTGATTGGGCTGATTATCGGGATGTCTTATTTTTGGGAAACAGGGTACATACATACATACATACATACATACATACATACATACATTAGGTTTTTAAATAGTTGCCTTCCTTTATTCACCTCCAGCAGTAAGTAATATCATATCTGTGATTTTATGTAAGTGTGTATGTAAACACACTGGTTAACAGCAATATCTGGATCCCTATGCCCAATTGGCAAACATTTTGCAGGAGAAGTTGTGTCTTCTGATCTAACTGGATCTTTAATCAAGCTTAATATAAAATAATGACATACAATTCAGTGCAGTTGTGCTTCCCTTCCATCAAACATTCAAGAATGTGTCTGAAGCATGCCTCTCTCTTGATGTAATATCATCCCATTATGATGCCAAAGCATGCCAGGTTAGATAAACTTCAAAATTCTGATGCATGATTATTATTATTTTTTTAACCTGGGAGAAAGGATCTGGCAGCAGGTGTTGCCAGTTGTTGTATTTTGGTATGTGAAGGAGGGTTTTTTTCCGTGTTTCATTTACCCAGGGCATTCATTAAATGGATAGTAAGAGTATTCCATTTTCAGTTGTGGGAAAACATGACTCGCTTTTTCCTTATATCTTCAAATATACTGTTTATATAAAGACATACATTGAGTACCTGGGGGGGTTGGGGGGGGTGGCTGTTGCTACCGATTCCCCTACCTTCCCGGTGACATAAACCTGGATTGCTATTTTGATGAGTGTTTTAAGCCAGGGAGGCTATAGATAAGCAGTGGGTTAGTTTTCTCATTTTCTATTATCTGCCCATTTCAGATAATAACTGGAATAACTAGAACGCAGGTGCCAGTGCCAAGTCTCTCTCTAATCCTTACTCTTTCCAACGTAAACAGATGTGTAGTATCTGGGTGAGTGCGGACATAATTACAAGTAACTTGATAACTCTTAAGCTGTTTCTGCTGGAAAGTGGTATGTATATTAATGCTTTAAAGAAGCCAGTGGAATCTCAATTGTCTGTTAAAGATAACAAACCAAACTCAAAGAAGTGTTTTCTATAAACAACAAAAGGTTTGTTTTTGAAGGTACCTTACGAAACATTGAACAAACGGTTCCGGGCTGCTCAGAAAAACATTGATCGAGAAACCAGCCACGTGACTATGGTTGTGGCAGAGCTAGAGAAGACCCTGAGCAGCTGTCCAGCTGTGGATTCGGTGGTCAGTCTCCTGGACGGAGTGGTGGAAAAACTCAGCGTCCTGAAGCGAAAGGTAACGTTCCCCTGCCTCGTTTCGTTGCTTGGGCTTTTCGATTTTTCCACTTCTATTTTCATCTGGGAGTTTATTATGTTTTCACTTTCCAAGAAGAGAAGAATCGTTGTTTTGGACACAATATGTCTTTGTTGCATATCATCCTGGGGACTGCTGAGTGAAGGAATCCAGCTCTTCAGCTAACAGGAATCCGAGTTCACTCTTTATAAGAAGCAGCAAGCCATTTGCAATGTGCTTGAGATCAGAGGTTTTGTGTCTGCGAAGGTCCCTGATTTAACAGGGTTTTTTTTTTTTTGTTTGTTTTTTGAAAAAACAAACCTTAAAAAACATTTTAACAATAAGCAAAATCTTGGCAAGATCTGCAGTAACACCCTTTGCAATTCAGGGTATTTATATAAACTTCCAAATTATTTTATTTTTTAGCAAATCACTGTTTATTGCCACTGCCTATAATGGCAAAAGAATTCCTGCTGGAGGGAACTTCCACACTAGGGGAAGGCTTGGAGATTCCTCTGGGATTAATCCAGACTGGCATTAATCATGCATCTTGAGTCTGAAAAACAGGGCATTTGCAGAGCTTCTTTGCTGCTTTAAGCAAACGATTGAGGAAGTGTGATGTCTACTGGGGCCCCCCTTATACTCAAAGGTGTGTTTTCCTAGGATTGTGTTGCTACTGTGTGAGCCTAGGAAAAGCTGCAGCTTCTTTTAAGGCTTTAGCCACGGTGAACTGAGCCATGCCTTTTTTTTCTTTTGCCTTCGGCTCTGAAGAATAGCACATCCCTAGGAAAGGCCACGTAGAAGAAGAATGAAAGTTAACCATTTTGGATTTCCTAGAGAAATCATGGAATCCTGGGGCTGGAAGGGACCTTGGAGATCATCTAGTCCAATCCCCTGCCCAAGGCAGGAGACCTTAAAATGGGGAAGGGTGTAATTGGTTTTCCCCTGCACAGAGGCTCAGGGTGTGTTCTGTGACTGAGGGAATAAGAGAGCAAATGAGCTAAACTGAAAGGTATTGATTACTCGAGTAATCTGCATTGGGCTAGAATTCTTAGCTTCCCTGCGAAATGTTTGCACCTCAAGTGCAGAGCAATTGATTTTTCAAATGCCTTCACTGCTACAAGCATATATACAAAGAAATGTTCACAAAATGAAGGCAGAAACGGCTGGGATGTTGTTCAATTTAGCAGGGTGTCTCAACCATGGCAACTTTTAAGATGAGTGGACCACAACTCGCAGAATTCCCCAGTAGCAATGCTGGCTGTGGAATTCTGGGGGTGGAAGTCCACTCCTCTTAGTTGCCGAGGTTGACTATAGTTTCTGGAACTATAGCATTTCTCAATCTATGCTAGATTTTATATGGGTCATTCGGCGTGCAAATGGACATTGCTTTGCAAGCTTTCCTGACTGTTTGGAGTATAGAAATTTCTACGTTCAGATCGGATTGAATGACTCCTGTTTCCTCGTGCAGGCAGTAGAATCGATCCAGGCCGAAGACGAGAGTGCGAAACTATGCAAACGCAGAATCGAGCATCTTAAAGAACACAGTAGCGACCAGCCAGCGGCTGCCAACATGTGGAAGAAAAAACGGATGGACCGAATGATGGTGGAACACCTCCTGCGGTGCGGCTATTACAACACTGCAGTGAAATTAGCCAGGCAGAGCGGCATTGAGGTTGGTACTCGGTTCAGAGGCAGGCGGGTATGGTCACTTGGCTCTCTTACAGAGGTTGGGGGATCATGCGTGGCCCCTTTCCAACTTGTGGACTTCAACTCCCAGAATTCCTGAGTTGCTGGCTCAGGAATTCTGGGAGTTGAAGTCCACCAGTCCTACAAGAGCTATTAGATCTTTTAGTATCTAGATATTAGATGCTGCCTGAAAGCAGCAAGAATCCCTTTCAGGTTTTTTTTTCCCCCCTTTAAATGGTTTCTAAGCTCAAGGAAGTTTTTATACTGAACAGCAAGTGCGGAATTCCCATCTCTACCCCGAGATAGGGTGGCAGGAAGTGATAGCTGGCCTATCTTGAAGTCCTTTTTAATTTCTTTTTTTGTACACTGTGGTACAAAAAAGATAACTTTTTAACAAGTTGTTTCATGTTCCTTCTGTACAATTTGTCTTCCTGCGTACGAAGCATATTTTGATGTTTGGTTGGAATCAGTTTATTTGTATTATTTTCAAAATGAGATACTCTGTTCCATACAGTGAATTTTACTTGTTGATTCAGCTTGCTTAATTGGTTCGTCCAAATGTTTTCTGTAGCTCAAAATAATCATTTACTGGTACAAAATGGGTTTATTGGAAGAGCCCTTCCACACGGACTCCTGTGGAATAAGGGATTTTTTTCCCCTTTAAAACACCATAGTTTTTCTTTGAAAGTTGATCTGTTTTGGGTTCAGGTTGTTTTTTTTTCAATGTTCTGTACAGATGTAATAGCAAATAACATTTGCAGTAGAACATTTGCCCCGGGCAAATTAATTCTGGGCAGTCAGAAAACAGCTCTTCATTTCCTGTTATGTTTAAACTATTCAGTCAAATGGAATTCTAATGTGCAATTTATAATCTTGGCTTAGTCACTAGAGCTAAAAGAATGCAGGCAGAGGCAATATTTTAGTCCCTGCAGCCGGATGCCATCTCTTAAGTGGGTTATATATGCATTTGCTGGTTGGAATTGTATAAAAATCACTTGACTTGGATCCCCTGCTCTAAAATGACTGCAGCCTGAATGGAGCTAAGATTTCTTCCTAATGGATGGCCTTCCTCAGAAAACACAGAGCCCTTTGTTTCCCCTTTATTTAACACGGGAATAATAAACGGCTCTATCTTTTTAATTTTTATCTGTCAAGCCTTTTGAGTAAGGTAGCTTGAGGAAACAGGAACCCCTTGGATTTTTGGAAAGATTTTTATCAGCAATAGAGTATTATAATAGTAATCTCAAAAGCCTGTTTAAACAATTCTCTGATTCAACTTATAAGTATATAATTAAGGCAGAGTTACTCTTGAGTCTTTTTCTCATGTTGTCCTTCTCCAGTCCTGGGAATCTTTTCTGTAATGGCCCCGTTTCCTCCCATAAGAATCTCCCTCCATTTATCATATTTCCACAACCTCTTAGACCCTCCCCCCATATTTTGTCCCCCCCCTCAAATATCTGTGTCCTTCTCTGCCATGAAATGCACAAAGAGCGATGACCCTGCCTCTTCCGTCCTTCCAAGAAGGGCTGGACATTCAAGACTGACAGGCGAGTAAAGAGATGGTGCGAGGGAGAGCACTGAAAACAGTGCTGCTGTTATTGTAGAAAGGAAAGGGACTAGCTCCTTGCTCCCTGGGAATATCAGGATTATATGTTTGGAGCCAGTCTTATACCCAAGGCAGTTGGGATGTGCCAGGAAGCAATCAGCTATAAATTGTAGGAGTTCCTCTTCATGGCCATTTATTCTTAGTTCTGTGGGAGCCATCTGGTTCAAGTTGAGAGGTCTTCTCAACCATCTCCATTTGCAGAGTGTTTTCCAGGGTTGTGAAGTTAGCAAGCCGTCCCAAAGCCTCAAAAAGCTGCCTGAGCCCACTGATCTGTGAAGATTAACAGCTATTAAGACACTTAATAATCTAGTGTTCAATATTGGAGCTTTCCTTAATGGCCAGCGCTCTTGGGAAATGGGAGCTGTGAAATTTCCTGAAGTCAAAGCTTTAGGGACGTTTGGGTATTTACTCACAAGGTGACCCAAATCTCCAAAAAGTCTTGAGATTTCCAGTCAATTCATGATGGCGTCTCTCCTATATAACCTTTGAAGCACATCGTATCCTTCCCTCTCTCACACGCCCTCCGTTTGCCATACTCTGATTTCAACCCTGAGCTACGAGTATTCTCCTTTATCGGTTCTTTGGTTTCCGTTCTGAAGAAAAAGTCTTTGGTCCTCCCGTGATGTTTCCGTCAACGTAAGCGACAGAGATTCTCAGGTGAATAATTGTGCTTTCCTGCTTTTCTAGGACTTGGTAAATATTGAGATGTTCCTAACTGCCAAAGAAGTAGAAGAATCCTTGGAAAGGCAAGAAACCATGACTTGTTTAGCCTGGTGTCATGATAACAAGTCTAGGCTCAGGAAAATGAAGGTACGTGCGCGCGTCAAGATGGCCGGAGAACGATGGTTTTGTTGGCCATGCATGTGCTTGAATGTGGCAAAATGAGGGGAGATGACAGGAAGTTTAATTTAATTAGTTCAATTTATATGCCGCCTTTCTCCAAAGACTCAGGATACAAATCAAGGTGTTTGTTTCAGAAGCTTTATATAAAACAGGAGATATAACACTCAAGCAAAAGTATTGTGAATGAACTTTTATTATTATGGATCTGTTAACTTGTGATTTATGCTTACTAAATTAAGGGGAAGATAAATATTTTTAAAAACAGAATATGTCTGTTCAACGTAAGACCTTTAGTCAAATAGGGTAGATAGTAGGCTGGTGACCCCCAGGGAGAGGGCCTTCTCTGTGGGGGCTCCTACCCTCTGGAATCAGTTGCCCCCTGAGATAAGGAGAATCCATGACCTCAGTGCCTTCCGTCGTGCCCTTAAAACCCATCTTTTCCAGCAAGCCGGGCTGGTTTAAGAAGAAATTTTTTAAATTCTTTTAATTGGTTTGTGATTTCTTAATTTCTGGGCCTAATTTATATATATTTTTAACTGTTTTTAATATTTGTATTCTATGTTCTTATTTTGGCTGTACACCGCCCTGAGTCCTCAGGGAGAAGGGCGGTATATAAATTGGAAATTAAATTAAATTAAATTAAAATTAAATTAAATTACTTTGTCAATAAATATGTTTTCTGTTGAAGGAAATAACATTCTTCAGCTGGAAGTTAATAACCTCATACAGGTAGTCCTCGACTTACAACAGTTCATTTAGTGATCGTCCAGTGTTACAACGGCACTGGAGAAAAAGTGACTTATGAGCATTTTTCAAATCATGCAGCATGCTCAAAATTCGGATGCTTGGCAACTGACTCACATTTATGACGGTTGCAGTGTCACGTGGTTCCCTTTTTCGACCTTCTGACAAGTAGCGGGGAAACCAGATTCACTTAACAACTGTCTCGCTTAAGGACAGAAATTTTGGGCTCCGTTGTGGTCGTAAGTCAGGGGGGAGTCAAGACTGTATAGCTTCTCCTGCTTGAGCAGACTAGAAGACCTCCAAGGTCCCTTCCAGCTCTCCCTTGATTTTTGACTACCCATACGGAGTGCCAAACCTTACTATTCATTTGCTCTGTGGAGATCCGTCCATCAGCAGCCCCCTTCAATTGGTTTTGTGGGCAAGAAGGCTGGAGTGGCGAGAGTGGCTTGCCTTTGGCTCCTTAGGAAATGTGGGGCAGAGGTGAGATTCTCTCTCTCTCCACCTCCAAAGCCCACGAGTTCTAAGTCATGTGAGTGGCAAAACCTGCTTTACAAGGACATAATGCAACTGCGTGTAGGAACCGTAATAACTAATTCCCTACGTGCCACGTAAATGTCAGCCAGTTGCTAAGTGCCCAGATTTTGATCACATTGTGGCACTTTGAGGACTGGCCGTAACTACCACACGTTCAGCGCCACCATCACAACTGTGGTTAATGAAAGAGTGGTCAGTAAGTGAGGACCACCGCCTACATCTGGGAAGAGAGAATTTTGGTATCTTATTTAGTGTTGTAAAATGATCAGTGTTAAGGAACTTGGTAATTTGAAGTTACTGTTTCAAATAGGCAACCCACCTATAATCCTTAACCATTCAGTCTCACTGTTTGAGTTTTGCTAAGTCGTCAAATGTTCTTGGCTTTCTTGAAAAATGAATCAGGATTTTTTTAAAAAAAATAATGTGATAAACAGCATTAGAAATAGCTTAAAAGTAATTTTTGAAGAGGCTTCTGAAATAATTATTCATTGAATAATTATATACTCCGCCTTGAGTCTTCGGAGAAAGGCGGCATACAAGTTGAACAAATAAATAAATATTATAACATAATATATAACATTTCAGATGGAAACTGAACAAAACTAATGTGAACAAATATGCAAAAATAGAACCTTGTTGTAATAATGTTTTAAAACAAAACTTCTCAATGTGGACATGTAAATATTTCTTTTAAAAAAATAAAGCATTTGGTTATGAAGTAGCATATCAAATTGCATAAGTAAATTTAATTGGCATTAACTTTTATATTGGTTCTAAATATATTCAGATGTTCTACTGCTTTTGAGGTAAGTTACCCAAATAAACATAGATAAATTACAGATCGAGTGTCTAAATCTTGCTATGGCATGTCTTAAGATTTGTTTCCTTTCTAATTTAGAGTTGTCTGGAATTCAGTCTAAGGATTCAGGAGTTCATAGAACTTATTCGACAGAACAAGAGATTGGATGCTGTCAGGTAGGAGGCAACCTGTGTGTACATAGGAAAGCGAGAATGTAAAGCCAGGCCTGAATTGGGCACAGAAAGATTGTTTTTAAAAGATGCTGCATTATGACACTTCTGCTCTTTCATCATTGTTACCAAAAGTAGTGATGTTTTCTTCAGGAGGAATTTCCATATACATTTGTATCAAAGTTCTATAAAAAGATAAAAAGTAACAAAAATTAATACAAAGTAAGGAAAGAAAGAAAGAGGGGGAAAAAAAGATAAATGCAAAAAGAAAAGATAAAAAGAAATAAAAGAGCCTTCCAAGTTCCTTTGCCGCAAATACAAATATGGTACAATTACAAAATTACCTTTTACTCTGCGGTTACAAAAAAAAAAAAAACTCTCCTTTTCCTACTACCTAATGATTGTGGTTTCTCGTCATCAAAACCACAAATCAAAAGTTCGGATTTTTTTTCTGTTTTATGCAAAACGATTATAAAGGATTTCTAGTCAGCAATAAAGGGAAGGAAGGAAGGAGGAAAGAAGGGAGGAAGGAAGGCGACATGAAAGAAAGGGAGGGAGGGAGGGAAGGAAGGAAAGAAAAAGAGGAAGGGGCATCAATGATCCTCTTCAAAGACCTGGAAGAAGAGTGGGGTCTTTGAGACCCTTTGAAACCCCCATCAGAGTGGGAGCCATTTGAATTTTAGGGAGACCCTCATTCCAGATGGCAGGCACTGCAACAGGGAAGGCAGGCTGCTGGGACCCGAGTAGATGCCATTGTTTATTTGATGGAACCTGGAGCTCCCCATCCCGGCCAGATCGAACCGATGGGTCAGATACAATTGGAGACAGACAGTCCTGGGCCATGCCGGAAATCGTTTGGGAAGCAGCTGAAAATAGAACAGCCAATGTAACAATGGTATTGTATAAATCTACGGTGTGATACCTCCGTTCCTGTCGCTCTCTCAAAATGGATATTGCACACTGGGGGGGGGGTAATTTGCAGAGAAGCCCCATAAAAATTGAGGAGACACTATGAACGCTGGAGTTTCTTAGCTTGGAGAGGAAGCAGTAAAGGAAGACATACCCCAGTGACAACAGCAGTAGAAACTGACGGAGAGTCACGATCAATAAAAGGAAGTATTTCTTCACTGGGAACTGTGCCATTGGATGTGGTTGCAGCTATCAATTTAGATGGCTTTTAAGAGGGTTGCAAATATTAATGGGGGATTTGATTCTATTACACTTTAGGCCTGTAAACTTGTGAGCTTCCTGAACGCGTCTGCTGGGCTGCCATTCTCTGCTACATTAGATGGAGTTTTGGCCTGGTCCAAGTGGACTATGAGGCTATCAAACTTAATGTTGACCCATAAGGGATTAGGGAAGACGGGGGAGTGTGCAAGTCTGTAGCTGAGCAATTTATTTATTTATTTGTTATGTGTAACATAACTTACAGGATGTTATAGATTGCTCCAGTCAGCTAACTCTGAGCAGCCTACAATGCCCCAGTACAAAATTAGGATTAAAGCTAAGGCTATAAGGGATTTCCAATCAGCAATAAATGGAGGGAGGGAGGGAAGAAGGGAAGGAAGGTCAAATTTACAAAAGAAACAAAAAATGTACATTATAACAACATTAAACAGGAGAGGTGTACCCTGAAGAATAAGATCAATTTTATTCCGGAGAATAAAATGAATTCATTATCAGAAGGGATATTTACTCGCAGAATTCCTAGGACCAGCGTGGCTTCCATTTTAAAAGGAACAAAACAGAGCAGGCCTCTCTGCGAGCGAAGGATGCTTACGAAGGAAACCCTGTTCTCTCTCTTCTTGCATTCCAGGCACGCACGGAAACATTTCAGCCAGGCCGAGGGGAGCCAGCTGGACGAAGTGCGGCAGGTGATGGGGATGTTAGCCTTTCCTTCGGATACTCATATCTCCCCTTACAAGGTACGCTGCTTTCCCTTTAGTCTTGGTTAATAGGGCTTAAGGTGATCAGCCGACGAGTGCTGAAGGATGCATGCTGGCCTCCCTTATTAAAACAGCAGCGTTCAATCTGCTGGTGGGTTTTAGTAGATTCTTCGTGTGAGAATCGGTTTTCCACAATGGCCACTGAGAAGTTTTGAGTATCGTCTTATGGCTATAACTTTGGTGCTTGTATCTTAACGATTTATATTATTTTATTAGTGTCCTAGTATGATTTATGTTGATTGCTTATTTAGCATCCTATGACTACCCCTAAGTGTTGTATCTTGTGATTTGCAATGAGTGTATTTTTGCGATTATGATCGTGATTTATCATGTATTGCTTGTATGTACACTGAGAGCTTCTGCACTGGAGACAAATCCCTTGTCTGTCAATCACTCTTGGCCAATAAAGAATTCCATTCCATTCCATTCTCTATATTCTATATCCTATTCACCATAAAGTGGAGAGTTGTAAGCCTGCTCAGATCTGCATTATACCTGCAATCATCTTGGGGGTCCGTACCTGTTTAGATACAGGCAGTCCTTGACCCATGACCACCATTGAGCCCAGAATTTCTGTTGCTAAGTGAAACATTGGTTAAGTGAGTTTTGCCCTGTTTTATTACCTTTCTTGATGCAGTTGTTAAGTGAATCACTGCACATGGTAAGCTAGGAACACGGATGTTAAGTGAATCTGGATTCCCTGTCGACTTTGCTTGTCAGGTCCCAAAAGGGGATCACATGACTTACTTAACAAATACAATGATTCACTTAACAACTGTGGCAAGATAGATCGTAAAACGGGGCAAGCTCATTTAACAGCTGTCTCCTTTAGCAACGTAAATTTTGGGCCCAGTCGTGGCCATAACTCTAGGACTACCCGTACATAATTTATATTTTAATAGTCTGAAACTGCTGACCGTCCCTTCTGCTTTTCATGTGTTCTCCCCAGGATCTCCTGGACCCTGCTCGGTGGAGGATGCTAATCCAGCAGTTTAGATACGATAACTACAGGTTGCATCAGCTGGGGAATAACTCTGTCTTTACCATAACACTCCAGGCTGGGCTTTCCGCCATAAAAACACCGTATCCTTCCACGCGTATTCTTCGGTCTTCAAAAAAAAGTATGCCATTTTTTTCCCCCCCAAACAGACTGCCTCTTTCCTAAGCTACCATTTGGCAAATACGTACTGATAATAGCTGCCTTTAATTCAGACAGTCATCCCAAGCAAATGCCTTTCGTGCTTTTTGCATTCCACCAAAAACAAACCAAAAAAACCCCCCAGACTAGAATGTGAAAAATGCAGCCTTTCGCCTTTGCGATGTATGGGAAGATTAGGTTTCCTTATAATGCACTCGGTCAAAATTCCAAACGTCTTTTTTTTTTTTTTTTGCGATCTGATTAATACAGGCTGAGTTATCGAATATCGAGGCGCCTTGGAGATACCTCAACGTTTAAAGCCACTTCAGGGAGCAAAATTATACACAACTGGCCGCTTTCAATATGCCAAAGTTGGGGGGGGGGATATATATATATATCTGCCTCATTTCACATTAGCCCTGGAGTTATCTGTGACAACCTTATTGCTTTAAATATTTGTCCTGTTTTTATTATTATTATTATTCCTTAACTTGTTTTTAAACAGACAGTGTTATAAAGAGGATGGCACTTCCAAAAACCCCGACTGCCCGGTGTGTAGCAAATCCCTAAATAAGCTGGCTCAGCCCCTGCCAATGGCCCATTGTGCCAACTCTCGGCTAGTCTGCAAGATTTCGGGAGATGTGATGAATGAGAATAACCCCCCTATGATGCTTCCCAACGGATACGTCTACGGATACAATGTAAGTTGTGACTTGGGACCCTCTGAATTCAGGCTTTGGCCTGGACTAGCTAGTAAACCCTAGCTAGCATTTTAATAGAACCGTCTGTAAAATGCTGAAGAAATATAAGAAGCTGTGTCCTTACAGGTAGTCCTCGACTTACAACAGTTCATTTAGTGACCAAAGTTTTTTTTTTAAAAAAAGTGTCTTAGGACCATTTTTCATACTTAAAATGGCCGTTGCAACTTCCCTGTGGACACGTGATCAAAATCCAGATGTGTGGCAACTGTCTCATATTTATGACAGTTGCAGCGTCCCAGGGTTACGCAATCCCCTTTTGCAACCTTCTGACAATAGGGAAGCCAGATTCACTTAATGACCATGTGATTCATTTAACAACTGCAATGATTCACTTAACAACCATGGCACGGAAGGTCATAAAATGGGGCAAAACTCATTTAACTGTCTCGATTAGCAGGAGAAATTTTGGCATCCGTTGCGGTCGTAAGCCGGGGACTAACTCTCTTTCTCTTTCTGACCTTTCTCCTGTGTTTCGTTCCAGTCCTTGCTTTCTGTTCGTCAGGATGACAGAGTCGTTTGCCCGAGAACCAAAGAGGTCTTCAGTTTCTCCCAAGCCGAGAAAGTCTACATCATGTAATCCCCTCTCACGCGCAAATGAAGTGCCACTGGATTTTGACACAATTAATTCTATCCGTGCCCTGTAAAAAGATGGTGGGAGTACGTGCGGCAAAGAAAAGCTGCGACTCGGGAGGGACGGGGTGGGGTGGGAAATCGAGGCTTCGTTGGTGGCATTTTTTCCCCGTGCGACCAAAGATCCGTGAGCAAAAGCATAGCACACTCTGAGAAAAGCGAGGAAGTGCGACTAAAGTTAAAAAAAAAGGTTGCACTCAGAGGGAACAAATTTTGAATGTTTGGATTTTTGTAACCACGATTGGGTTGTTGTTTTTTTTCCTCAAATACTCATCCAGCGGAAGCAGCTTACTCAAAAGAGATCTAAATAACTTTAGATCTCAAAGGGGGGGGACAGTTCTCACTCGAGTTTTGCCTGTCCCCTATTTCTACTTGTGTGTGAAATATTGTATGACTCGAAGGGACTCAATATGCAAACCTATAATAGACGCGTCAGAGAGCTGGTTTCAGCTTCCCGATGCATGTCAGTCCTGCGTCCTCCGGGACACGCGTGCTGCACACGCCTTTCCCCTTCCGATGTGTGGTTGTGTCACTGTGACCCACACCAACTGGAAGCACGCACCCAGCTGTGCAAAAACACAGTTAGCAAACACTTTTGGTCTTTCACATAGCCTTTAGAAGACAGCCAGTCCTTGGAATGGATGCTGGGTAGATGCTAACACAAGATAGAAAAGACAGAGAAAGGTTTGTTGTCGTCTCTAAAACCTCTACAGTTCAGTTTTTCTCAAGCTTGGGAACTGGAAGACAGGTGGACTTCTGGGAGTTGAAGTCCACCTGTCTTCCAGTTCCCACGGTTGAGAAATTCTGTCCTAAGATAATTTTAAGAATCTTTTAAAAACTGCATAAACACAGAACTGGTAACATTGGAGCCACCATGTGCCACTCGTCCGTCTGTCCTCCTTCCAGTTGACCAATAGTGTTAAGGGCCTTTCGTTTATTAGTTACTATGTGCATAGGATTCAAATATCAAAAACCATTTAGTGCTACTGCCTTATTTTCTTGCTTTTGAGAATGTATTCACATGAAGAAAAAAAAAAAATCAGCTGGTAACCTTAAGTGTTGGGGAAGTTTTGAAGAAGATGCCTTGCAGGAGAATTATGTAATTTTAGGGTATTGGCGGCCGAAGAGAAAAGGTTAGTTCAATTTTTAACCGCTACCGATCACATCCTTCTCATCCTCCAGACACACCCCCATTGTAGTAGAGACAAAAACCATACTATAGACTTTGTATTTAGCCTTTATTTTTGCATGTTGATGTTGATTAGCTAATAAAGACATTGCTCATAAGCCTGGTTTCTGCTCATTGGTTAAAACAGAAGAGTCTTAATGTGCTTTAAAAACCAAATGGTTAGTAAATATATATTTTTTTCCTGCAAAAAAAAAAATTACTGGAGTTCAATCATAAACTGGTTTTGACAAGTAGAGTCCCTTTAAAATTTTCCTTAATTGCTTTCTGAAAGAAAATAGTAATTATATTATGAAGATTTTGTGATTGCATAAGTAGAGAAATAACACATTTAATACTTTGACTTAGAGGTGAACAACTGGGCAAGATGCAAGGCCTTGCAATAGTTTAATATAAAATGGACGAATAAAAGGATGGGTTATTCACAGACTTAATTATATTTAAGCCTCAATGGGACTTTAGACTTGATACTTTTCAAATTAACTTTTCCTGAGTTCAGTGTACTAATCCTCAGACTGGCTCTTCCATCTCCAAATTTTATTCAGGGATTTGATTTAATGTCCCCATTTATCGTAGATGAGTGGTGCTTGAAAAATAGAGCATACGTGATGAAGAATAAATACTTTTGATGTCTCCTGTGAGACAATGCACAATTTCACTTGTTTAAAAGTATAGTAGGTTCAGAAGCAGAAAGAAAAATGTGTGGTTTTAACAAAACCAATGAACCTGGGGCCTCCTCCAAATAAATTCCTCTCCTTTTCCAGGGCTTTAAGGCCTATCCCTGCCCTCCTTGTTTCCATAACCACTGCTGGCTATTCCCTGAAGGCCATCTCCATGGTTGTCTCCACAGTTATGGAGCTGAGAAAGGAGAGGCCGTGTGCAGTTGCACAGGGAAATAAATTCAGATTCTCCCCCCTCTCCCAATTGCTAACCTTCAGAGGGCTCCCAGTTTCAAAGTGCTTTCATCGCCTGTCTATTGTTTTTCAAAGCTACTTATATTCTTGGTTCAGAGGATTGGGAGAAAAGGCGCATCCTGCCTATTCTGGGAAGGGTCCAGTTTTTCCAGCAAGTCTTGGGGGTGAAGGGGGCTCCCCTCTTCTGGTGCCCTTTGGGTCCGATTTCCAACTGGGCTCCTGGCTACTTTACAGCCCCCTGTCCTCAACCATCTTCCGGATGGGATTTTGCCTTCCTCTGCCGCCGCCTTGGATCATGGAGCTGAAAGCGAAGCTTTCCGGCTGCCCAGCGAAAGGGAAGAGACTGTGCAATCCGCTCCTGTGCTTGCCTGCTGAAGAATACAGGATCACCGGGCTGGAAGGGCCCTCAGAGGTCTTCTAGTCTGACCCCCCGCTCAAGGCAGAAGCCTTAACACTATCCCATTGCAAATACGTAGACTCTCCAGTCTATTTGTTGAAAAGTTCCAACGATGGAGCACCCGCAACTTGTGGTGGCCAGTTGTTCCACTGGTTAATTGTTCTCCCTGTCAGGAAATCCCTCCTTAGTTTCTGGTGGCTTCTCTCCTTGGTTCCCATCCGTTGCTTCTCGTCCTGCCTTCTGGTGCTGCTTTGGGTAACAAAATTGTTGGTCTCTCCCCCCCCCCCCCCCAATTGATGTTGGGGGGGGTCAATCTATTGTGAGAGGTTGAAGGCGAAGGGAAACATTTAACCTGGTTTGCAACCCGAGGGAGTCTCTTTCTTGACAAGCCCGGGCAGAGACCCGGGAATGACGTCACTGCACCACCACCCCCTTCCTAGCCCCCCCTTTTCTTCCCAGGCCTCCCATTGGTCAGCTCTCCGTGACGCCACCGAGGCGAGGCTCCTCCTCTTGGGCCCGGCAAGCCGCGCCTGCGCAGAAGGCAGCCAACGTCTCCGCGGAAGCGCCGAGCTCGACTCCGACGGTGGGCGAGCATCCCGGCGCCGCCATGCAGAGCTCGAGCGCAGGTGCGAGGCGGGAGGGGAGCCGGGGCCTCTCCCCTTGCCTTGCCTCCGGAGGTTGGGAGGCTCCTCCAGCCCTGACCCGGAGGGGTTGAAACAAAAAGCCTGGCTAAGAGGGGGTCGGACTAGATGACCTCCAAGGCCCCTTTCCGAACTCTGCCCTCCTATTGTTCCGTTTGTTACCCTGGTCCTGGTGACGCTGTTCTTCTGTGATTGTGTTCGTCTGTTACTTTGTTACTCTGTTTGCTACTTTGTTTTTCTCTTCTGCTCTTCTCTTTTTTCCCCCCCCTTCTGTTCTTCTGCTGTTTGTTACTCTGTTATTCTGTTTTTCCGGTTATTGTGTTATCCTGTCATCCTGCTTGTTACTCTTTTTCATTTATTTATTTATTTATTTATTTATTGGTTCGATTTATATGCCGCCCTTCTCCGGAGACTCAGGGCGGCTTACAATGGGTTGAGCAATAGCCTTCCTACTTTTTGTATATACCTGCTTAGTAGGGCTTTCGGGCCCCCCTAAGCCGTGTTCTTTTTTATATACAAAGTCAGCTTATTGCCCCCACAATCTGGGTCCTCATTTTATCTACCTCGGAAGGATGGAAGGCTGAGTCAACCTTGAGCCTGGTGAGATTCGAACTTGCAGTAATTGCAGGCAGTGGTGCTACTTAACAGTAGTACAGTAGTACAGTGCCTTGGTAGTAAGCACCCTGTTATTAAGACCAGCTGCCTGCAATTACTGCAGGTTCGAATCTCTCCAAGGCTCAAGGTTGACTCAGCCTTCCATCCTTTCTAAGGTAAGTAAATTGAGGACCCAGATTGTGGGGACAATAAACTGACTTTGTATAAATATACAAAAGTATAAAGGCTATTGCTTAACGCATTGTAAGCCGCCCTGAGTCTCCGGAGAAGGATGGCATATAAATCTAATTTTTTAAAAAAACAGCACTTTAGTCTGCTGCTGTTTTCCTGTTCTTCTGCTTGTTGCTGTCTCGTTCTCTCTTTCTGCCCTTCTCTTACTCTGCCTCCCAGGAGGGACCTTTGTTCAGGACCTGGACAGGGCAGGCCTCCCTCCCTCTCGACCAGGAGGAGCCAGCGGCAGCCAGCTGGCCCTTCCTCTCCTCCTGGCCGGACTGCACAAGGAAGGGCTCTGTTGCCCGGAGCTTCTGCCCTCGGGAGCCACGGGGGCACCCAGCGGCTTCAAGCCTGCTCAGTCCCAGCGGCTGCTTTTGAGTGGGTGGGGCCGGAGAGAAGGCACCCTCCAGACTGTTTTTAAGCCAGGATGGTTTTGCTCCCCCAGGGATGGACCAGCAGCTGGCTCAGCTTGTGGAAGACTTGACCACCTCTGGGGAACCAGAGCTGGATCCAAAGAAGGTGAAAGCACTCAAGAACATCTGCAGGTAAGATATTTGTGGCTCGGAGTTCAGTGGTGGGGTCCTTGGTGCTTTCTGAGCTGGGTGGTTTTCTCACAGACCTTGCATGACCCAACTAGGTAACATCATCAGTGCTAGAGGGAGGCCCCTGCGTGTAGTCCCCTCACTTAAAGATCCATCTCATCCTGGATCTCACCCTTTTCTTGAACTATTACCACCTGGCAGACGGTACAGGATAATAAAAACAAGGACAAAGAGCCTGAAAAACAGCTTCTATCCCAGGGCAGTAACTATATTGAATTTTACTGTATAATTCAATATTAAATGCAATATCAGTTTAATTGTGTAGAATGTGAAGGGTGTGTGTTTGTGTTTTATTTTTATAGTTATAACACACACTGAAGACGGCATTTAATTTTGTTGTACGAGGTACCATGACAATAAAGTAAACTTAACTTAAACTTAATTTCATTAAAACATTGAGTTATTGGAAATGATTTCTCTTTCTTGCAAAAAGAGCTTTAAAGAGTATCTTACATGTTGGACTTTTTACCCGGAGTTTGCAAATACAGCTGCATAATTTGTAGGTGTTGGATCAAGCATAATCCTAGATGTATTGATTTGGGAGCAATCTTAACTGTTTTAAGTAGAGTTGTTTTGAGTTTGTATGTGCATCACTCGGTTGGATGGACTAATCTTGTTTGATCTAAAATAATCAAGCACAGTCAGGTCTGGTTAGTATTTAGATGGGAGACTATCAGAAAAGGTGGCAGATGGGCACCAAAAGAATCCCGGAAGAAGAATCTGCAACTTTAAACTGTGTGGACTTCAAGTCCTAGAATTCCCCATGCTGGCTGGGGAATTCTGGGACTTGAAGTCCACACAGCTTAAATTTGTCGAAGTTGAGAAACATTGCTGTAGAGCGCATGCATTGAATTGCTGGCTGAGTCTGAAGTTTGTACTGTATTATATGTGCCAAAGATGGGAGCCTTAAAGATTTTGACAAATAAAAAGACTTTAATTAGTGCACGGAGAGAAAGAGTTATATTCCGGAATAAAGAATGTGTGAATTAATTTTTTTGCGTGCAGATGTGTATACAAGCGGTGGTCAAAAAATCAAGAGAGTAGCTACGTAGCTGCAGTGGAAGTGCCACTTGCTTTTGCTACACCTTCTGGGGCAGTCCTGTTGCCACACAATGTCAGCAGTCCTTGTTTAGTGACCGTTTGAAGTTGCAACAGCACTAAAAAAGTGACATGACCATTTTTCACAGTTAACGACCATTGTAAATCCCCACGGCCACGCAATCTGCATTCAGACGCTTGACAACTGCTTCATATTTATGACGGTTGCAGTATCCTTGGTGGTGCAGTGGACTAAGTGCTGTTATGTAGCACTTAGCTGCCAGCTGCCTGCAATTAGTGCGAGTTCAAATCTCACCAGGCTCAAGGTTGACTCAGCCTTCCATCCTTCCGAGGCAGGTAAAATGAGGACCCGGATGGTGGGGGCAATCAGCTGACTTTGTAGAAACACCGCTTATGGGGGGCCAAAAGCCCTACTAAGCAGGTATATACAAAAGAATGAAGGCTATTGCTATAAGTGCATTATAAGCCTCCCTGAGTCTTCGGAGGAGGGCGGCATATAAATTGAACTAATAAATAATAAATAAATAAATATCCTAGGGTCACGGGTTCCCCTTTTGTGACGTACTGACAAGCAAAGACAATGCAGAAGCCAGATTCACTTAGCAACCATGTGACTAATTTAATGACGGCAGCGATTCACTTAACAAACGTGCCAAGAAAGGGTGTAAAATGGGGCAAAGCTCACTTCACAAAGGTCTCGCTTAGCAACATAAATTTTGGGCTCAACTGTGGTCGTAGATCGAGGACTGCCTGTGTTGTATTTCTCCAATGAGTCCGTATCCCTTAATGACGTGCTTATCCGGCCACTGGCCTTCCTACAGGGGTTCTGATGAGCACATCAATCATGTTTACCACCTGCTGATGTCCCAGTTAAACCAGGATCACGCCGAGATCCGCCTTTCAGCCTTTCAGATCGTGGATCAGCTCTTCACTCGCTCACACCTCTTCCGAACGCTGCTCATTTCCAACTTCCAGGAATTCTTGGAGCTGACGGTGGAGACGGACTACGATCAGCCTCTCCCCCCACCCACTGACGTCGCCCAGAAGCTTAAAAAAGCCGCCATTAAATCTGTACAAGAATGGCATGAAAAGTACGGGGAAGCCTACAAGAAGCTTTCCTTGGGATATTTCTTCTTAAAACAGAACAAGAAGGTACTTGAATGCCTGCAGTTGATGGTCTGAGGCTTCAGGGCAGTGATTTCCAATTTGGGCCACTTTAAGATGCGGGGACTTCAATTCCCAGAATTCCCCAGCCAGCAAAGCAAAGCTGCCAGAGGAATTCTGGGAGTTGAAGTCCCCACATCTTAATGTTGTCCAGGTTGAAAAACACTGCTCTTAAAGATGTTAGAGAACTAAGGACGATTACTTTCTTTAAAAATGGTTCTGACTTTGCCTGCAAGAAAATAAGACTTTGGTTTTGAACAAAAAGTCAGCCTTAGAATTAATGATCCCATTTTTGCAAGCTGAGAAGTCTTAGTAAATGCTTAAATTTAATTAAGAGTATGTGCATTGAGAAATTAACTCTTTAAGCTGCATTGAATTTACCCTATTTTCTCCCTGCCTGTACCTTTTTCTCTATGTTGAAACAGAAAAGGTTGTCATTTTTAAGCAAAACAATAATTAAGGAAAGGTAGGTCCCCAAATCCTATACAGCCTTTTCTGCTATGTAAAGACTGATATATTTTTTTTTATTGTGGTTGGTCCCACAGGCAGCCAGATGTTCAGACTGGATTTGACATTTTTGTCTATCTATTAAATCCTTGCCAAAGACCAGGGAGAGGCAGATGTTATGGTTTGATAGCGTTAAAGGTATCGTGGCAAGGATGTAAGATGTTCTGAATAAAGCTGCCTTTTGCAATTGACTGATGGTGATTTTGTCAATGCCAGTGGTGTTCAAGTGATAATTCTAGGCGTTTAGGGATTACATCCAAGGTGCTTATTAGTACCAGTGCTATCTTTGCTTTCTTTTGCCTTAATATTTTAGTTTTGTGCCCTGCCCAGAGTCCACTGGAGTTGGCAGCCAATAAGATTAAATAAATAAAATATTTAGATGAATTTATCCCTTTTTGGGCAACTTCTATAAACTCCTGGAGAACAGCTTTCATGCATTCTCTGATAGGCGGGGAGAGACTGAAAAAAATAGGAGGAAATAATGTTTAGCGATGGATGTGCAGCACCAAAGAAAATGCTACACATCAGTCAACCCTTTTCACCAGCAATATTAACATTTTATAAATAACCAATATGGAACTGAATCCAGATTTTATCATGTGTAAATGAGACTTAATTTTCTCCCGTTCCTTTTTAGGTAGATTTTCAAGATGTGCATGCCAGAACATTAGCAGAAAGAAAAAGAGATGAAGAAAGGCAAAAACGATTGGATAATATTTACAAGGATAAAGCCCAAAAAGTGGAAAAGGAAATGAAAGGTGAGAGATGGGTGGCTTATTTTCCCCCCATTCTATTTCTGAGTGGCACTGCCACGTTCTTCCCTGGTATTGGTAGGTTTTATCCACAGGAGTGCTTCCACAGGACGGTTGCTGTCAATGATGATTTGTTCATAGATTGGGAGTCAGTAAGGATCTGTGTTAGACAGCTTGGGGAAAAATAAAATTATCACAGTGAAAGGTAAGAAAATTGAGCTAATGAAAGTCTAAAAACTTTCTAAGCTTGTGCCAATCTGTCTCTCTATCCCATCCACCAAGCCTCTTGGTCAAATGTTACATACGTTTTAAAATTCCCACCACACTGTCAAACTATCTAGAAAGGCAGTATTATCATCATTATTCTCATCTTCCTGAGTCCCTATCTCCTTACCTTCTTATAACTTTGTTGCTTGTATCTTACGATTTATATTGTTTACTTGATATCCTAGTACGATTTATGTGGATTGCTTAATTAGCATTCTATGACTATCACTAAATGTTGTATCTAAAGTTTTATGATGATGGATTTAGGATAATGATCTATCACTATTGTTGTACGTAGACTGAGAGCTTATGCACTGGAGACAAATTCCTTGCATGTCTAATCACACTTGGCCAATAAAGAATTCTAATTCTAAAAGAGAGTAAGCAATAGTTTTATTTTGTGCGTGCCTATTAGTAAGCATTGGATGAATTGGTGGATGGATAGATGATAGATAGATAAATAGTTTTTCACACGACTCTTGCAGCATCCCCAGGGACACGTGATCAAAATTCAGACGTTTGGCAATTGGCTTATATTTATGACGGTCGCAGCAGTGTCCTGGCGTCATGTGATCCAGTTTTGCGACCTCCTGACAAGCAAAGTCAGTGGGTTCGATTAACTTTGTGAACCTGAATCCAGGCTCACTTAACAATCATGTTACCAACTTGACAATTGCAATGATTCACTTAACAACTGAGGCATTAAAAAAAAGGTCGTAAAACGGGGCAGAACTCACTTAACAAATGTCTCGCTCAGCAACAGACCTTTGGGGCTCAATTGTGGTGTAAGTCAAGGGCTAGCTGTAGACTGAATTAATTGCTGAGTTTATGTTGGTGAGCGAATCCTTTTGAAGAGACGAGTGGGTCTCTTTTAGTATCCGCCTGCCTTAAATGTCCTGAATTTACTTGGCAGATACGTCTCCAGAAATCCAGTCTGTGCTGACCGAGCTGGAGAGTTGTTTTCAGCTGCTGGTTCCAGATCCTTTGGACTTCACCATGGATGAGGTTGAAACCGCAGATTGGAGGAGAGGCGACGTGGGCCAAACAGCCCCCTGTTCTTCGGAAGAACAAGACCAGCAAGGAGCTTTCAGGGATCACGATCAACAGCCGTGCTGTAGCAAGGACCTCCCTGCCGTTTCTCCAGGGCCAAAAACTGATTGCCGAGACTCCGATGGAGAGACGGAGAAGGCCTGTGGTCCAGAAGATCCCTCAAAGCCTGAATCAACTCCTCTTGGCGTTATGGGAGATGAGGATCCCGCAATGTTTCTTCGCAGCCACGGGCTTGGCTCTTACAAATACACCCTCAGTCTTGAAGTGCCTTCAGGTACTTAAACCTATTTCATCCAGAAGTTGCTTCTTGCTCACGGGTGGCATTGAATATCGTCATTTCGCCACAATAGAAAACCCACGCGAGTCATACGTTGCCAAACACTCACCGGGTACATTATTTTCAAGGACAGTGTTGAACCATTATTCTTGAAAATAATGAAACTGAGGAGAGAAGCAATAGATTAAAACATAGAGAGGAGCAACCTAGAATTAAGGAGAAACTTCCCAACAATGAGAACAATTAACCAGTGGAACAACTTGCCTCCAGAAGTTGTCAATGCTCCAACACTAGAGGTTTTTAAGAAGAGATAGGACATTTATCTGAAATAGTATAGGGCTTTCCTGCCTGAGCAGGGGGTTGGACTAGAAGACCTCCGAGGTTCCTTCCAACACTCTTACTGAATTTATCAGGGCTGGCTGTGTTTCTCTGTGTGTGTGTCCATTGTGTAGATACAGTATATGTACATTGTATGTATGTATGTTTACTGTATATATACACAGAGAGGGAGAGAGAAATACACAAGAATCCTGAGAGAAATTTGATCTGTTGACTTCCTTTGTTCCTGCTAGATGTGAAACTGAGCGAGAATGAAGACAATGCAGCCATCATAAATAACCTTTCGGATAGTTTTAAGCTCATAACGAATAAATATTTGCCATTGGTGCAGTCTTGGATTCAGGTAAGCCTTTTTTATTAACTTAAGAATGAAGTTGGATCGCTTTCATTCTGTAATTAGAGTGGTGCTGAGATCTTGGGGACCAAAACAGCTAAGAGAAGAAGAGAAGGACCGGGGGTGACATGATAGCAGTCTTCCAATATTTGTGGGGTCAAGAGGGGGTCTACCTATTCTACAAAGCACCTGAAGGCAAGACAAGAAACAATGGATGGAAAAGTAAGGTTCTACATTTTGGCAAGAAAAACAGGATGCACAGGTACAGTATATGTGGTACCTGGCTCAATAGCGGCGACTATGAGAGGGATCTTGGAGTCCTAGCGGACAACCATTTAAACATGAGCCAGAAGTATGCAGCAGCTGCCAAAAAGGCCAACACAGTTCTGGGCTGCATAAACGGATAGAATCAAGATCAGGTGAAGTGTTAATACCACTTTATAAGGCCTTGGTAAGGCCACACTTGGAATCCTGCATCCAGTTTTGGTCGCCATGATGTAAAAAAAGATGTGGAGACTAGAAAGAGTGCAGAGAAGAGCAACCAAGAGGATTAGGGACTGGAGGTTAAAACATGAAGAACAGTTGCAGGAACTGGGCATGGCTAGTCTAGTGAAGAGAAGGACCAGGGGAGACATCATAGCTGTGTTCCGATATCTCAGAGGCTACCCCAAAGAAGAGGGAGTCAAGCTATTCTCCAAAGCCCCTGAGGGCAGGACAAGGAGCAACAGGTGGAAACTCATCAAGGAGAGAAACAACTTAGAACTAGGGAGAAATTTCCTGACAGTGAGAACAATTAATAAGCGGAACAACTTGCCTGCAGAAGTTGTAAATGCTCCAACACTGGAAGATTTAAAGAAGATGTTGGATAACCATTTGAAGTAGTGTAGGATTTCCTGCTAAGCAGGGGGTTGGACTAGAAGACCTCTAAGGTCCCTTCCAACTCTGTTATTCTATGTCTAAAAGCTAACCAAGGAGAGAAGCAACCTGGAATTAAGGAGAAATCATGTTAGATTTTTTAGCTCCTTATTTTTCTCTGCATTCTTTTTGTCAATTTGAAATAATCAGATGGGCCAGCAATGCTATTAATTTTTTCTTGCGGTATATGAAATGCATAGGTCATCTTAGATGAACTAACTAATTTGTAGTTTGTAGTTATTCACCAGGGCTGGGATAAGCGATGATCGCCTGAGACAAGCCATTGACCTTAAAAATCGATTGGAGACGGCTTTGGAGAAGACTAAAAAAATGAACATTGATTTTAAAGGGAAGAAAAAGCAGGTGAGTTGAACCTGATATTTCTAATGAATATTAGGGTATCCTGAAACTGAAGTGACTGTATTTTCTTAATAGGCTATTTATTAATTCTTGCCCATAAAGGGGAATATTTGTAGCTCAGGGTTGAAATGAGGGGTCCTTGATGCTTTCTGAGCTTGGTGGTTTTCTTGCAGACGTTTCATGACCCAGCTAGGCAATATCATCCGTGCTAGTAAGGAATGGGGTTTGCAGTCCTCTTCTTCCTCACCCCTCCTCCTCCTCCTCCTCCACTCCACAATCCCCATTCCCTCCTGAGGCACTGATGATGTTACCTAGTTCGGGTAAAGAAAAGTTTGCAAGAAAACAGCCAAATTCAGAAAGCACCAAAGGATCCCTTATTAATTCTTGGCTGGCTGGGGAATTCTGGGAGTTGAAGTCCACCTCTCTTAACAGATGTTGGGGTCGACCAACAGTGCTTTAATTGTCAATTCTCCAGCTTTGTCGCCTTTGTAACACCCAAAGAGAAGTTTATTCTTTTCGGTTACACAAGCATGTTTAAATGCGTTCCCCATTATAAGCCACATTTTATTTTATTCTCTTTTATGACAATATTTACCGCAGCTTGATTTGATTACAGACCAGGTGGTACATCTTAAATAGCTCATGAAGTCCTCACATTCTCTAGTTTGCTAATGTACCGTATATTTTATTTGTTTTCTTGATTGTCTGGTGCTTTTTTCTGCTTATCACGTTGACTGGTCATTGACCGTCATAAACAGACAGTTTTCCTTTTACAGATTTTATTCTTGGAACTATGTTGGGTATTTTTACGTGTCATAAAAATAGCTCGTTGCTGGCAATAATTAGCTACCTGTGAAGCCTTTTTTCCATAACGTTTGCTTTGGATTTTTAATGTTCCATGTTAAAAATTACATTTTAAAAACCCCTTTTGTTTATAAACAAGCCAAGGATCTGCTTTCTTGCTCAGTGGCTGCAGGGAAAGTCATTTGGGTTTCCAATTTCACACTTCCTGCCAAGCTGTCGGTCGGCCGTTCTTGAACAAGATGGGTGATGGAGTCAACGAAGCTCGGATTAAAATGGAAGGCCTTGTTCACACATTTGTCTTCCCTGCGTGTGTGAGCATAGACATACTCAACCTCCCTTCTCGGTGTACAATATTGCAAAGTGTTGAGCCTTAAATGCATACAGAGAAATTTCCCATGACACCATTAAACCATGGGGGTCTGGACTATGGTAAAGGGTTTCTTGCTTGAGCAGGGGGTTGGACTAGAAGACCTCCAAGGTCCCTTCCAGCTCTATCATTCTGTTATTCTATTAATTAACCAACAGAACGGCTTCCCTCCAGAAGTTGTGGGTGCTCCATCCCTGGAGGTTTTCAAGAAGAGACTGGACAGCTACTTGTCTGGAATAGTACAGGATCTCCTGCTTGAGCAGAGGGTTGGACTAGAGGACCTCCAAGGTCCCTCCTACCTCTCTTATTCTGTTAAACGCCTACACCCGCACCAGAGCTCCCTTGCTAACTTCCCAGCCCCAATCCTTCCCAGTCCTTCCAGGTCCTCACAACCTTGCAAAGCAGTGGTGGGTTCCTCTCGGTTCGGCCTGATTCTTCTGAACCGGTAGCGGTGATGATATGATGTCACCGAACCAGTTCTGCCCCCCCCTGCGCCCTCCACCCCCCACGTTATTCTTACCTTTTATTTGGCCCCACCTCCAATCTATTGCTGCCTCCTGAGTCCCAGCTAATGGCTAGAGAGAAAAAAAAACTGTTTAAGAGTTTGCTGCCAGCTTCAAAGGGCCGCCCTACAGCTGATCAGTGTTAAAAGAAAACAAATGAGTAGAGCGGTGCCTGCAAAAATAAATGGGTAGACCGGAACGCTCCAAAAACAAATGAGTAAACCGGTACAGCTCTGCAAAAGCCTGATAGACTAGTACCTCTGCTAAATCCTAAATAATTGTCACATGACCATCAAGCCATGCCCACAAAATAAGCCACGCCCACAGAACCGGTAGTAAAAAAAATGTTAGAACCCACCCCTGTTGCAAAGGGCCAAGAAGGCTGGAGCTGTGCTTGTTTTATTGGGCAGGCTGTTCCCCAGGGCACCTGCCGTTTCAGAGAGCTCAGGCTTCCCGCAACCTGCCAGGTGGCTCAGCTTTGTCAGCGGTGCCCAGATTATGCCCACGCTCTCAGATCTGGCGGGGTGGCAAAAAAAAAAAAAAAAAAAAAAAAACCCTGGGGAGAAACGTCCTCCAAATAATCTGGCTCAGTGCCATGTGGGGGTTCAAAGGTGACAGCATCCAGAAGTCTTAACCGGTAGTCCTCGACTTATAAAAATCCATTTAGTGACCGTTCAAAATTGCAACGGCACTGAAAAATGTGACACGACCTTTTTCACAGTTATGACCTTTGTGGCATCCCCAGCGTCACGTGATCAATATTCAGAGGTTTGGCCACTGATTCATACTTGCGACCGTTGCTGCATCCCAAGGTCATCCAAAGTTACAGCAGCACTGGAAAAAGTTACGACCGTTGCAGCATCTCCAGGGTCACGTGATCAGATTTCAGATGCTTGGCTCATACTTAACGACAGTTGCAGGGTGACGCAATCCCCTTTTGCGACCTTCTGATAAGCAAAGTCCACGGGGGAGCCAGATTAGCTTAACAACTGGGTTACTAACTTTATCAGCTGCAGTGATTCACTTAACAACATAAAAGGTCATAAAATGGGGCAAACATCACTTAACGAATGTCTCACATAAAAGCAGTAATTTTGAGCTCAGTTGTGGTCCTAAATCGAGGACTACCTGGGAATCTGTGATGTTATGCAGGAATGACGAAGCGCCACAGCCTAAACAACGATGGGAGTTTGGGTAGATCTAATTGCTGTCATTAGGCGTCCCGTGACTACGTAATCATCATTTGTGGCCTCTCACCAGCTTCCCATTGGCTTTGCTTGTCAGAAGCTGGCAGGGAAGGTCGCAAGTGGCGAATTGTGTGACCACAAGACAATGAAACGGTCACCATTACAAGCTGGTCTCTTGAGTACCCAAATTGCAATCTCGTAATTCTCTTAATTCTGCGACAGCCACAACTACGAGGACCTGTCATATGAGTCCCTTTTGTTCAGCCAGATGTAACTTTGAACAGTTACTAAACGAGTGGCCGTTAAGCGAGGGGTACCTGCCTCTGTTTCCCAGGTGAATATCTTTAAATTCAGGGCTTATATTTATCTAGGTGCGTTTTTCAGTGGCCATTAGGGGGCGCTGTTTTCTTCATGCTGGGTATTTCTCTGCTGACATCATTACAAAATATTTCTCTTAAATGAGATAATCTAAAATGACCAGAACTTGAAATGGGAGGGAAAAACCTTCTTTTCTAGACAGTTTCTAAATTTGCTATTGGCGAAACTTTTCCTCATTGTATGTGTACATCTCATTTGGTTAAAAGCACAAGTTTCCCATTAAGATCTACTATAACCGGTCATACTGTTCTTTAAATATTGCAAACTAGCTATATTACGAGTAATAACATAAAGGGAATCTGTGGTTCTCTAAATTAAAACTAGCACAAATCTCTCCCGAGTTTTCTAGTGAACATAAATTAAAAGTTTAAAATACCGACAAGCATAATGGACAAAGTTGGATCGAGTCGTTTGGTTTTCATAATTGCTCAGTTTTCAGATAAAGACAAAAATAAACTGCATTATTCTATATTGTATGAACCATATTATATGAGATCAGCTGAAATTAACTTTAAGGACTCCACAGAATGTTGTCCTCTTAGATCAGTGTTTCTCAACCTTGGTAGCTTGAAGATGCGTGGACTTCAACTCCCAGCATCCCCCAGCCAGCGCTGCTGGCTGGGGGATTCTGGGAGTTGAAGTCCACCCATCTTCAAGCTTCCAAGATTGAGAAACACTGTCTTAGACTATAACTTGATAATGTTATACTTTTGTTTTAGATTCTGATATTTGAGAGGGGAAAAAAACCAACCAAGCTGAATCTCTTCTGTTGTTTCTTGAAAGTTGAACATTTCCGAAAAGGGAGGTTATTCTGAGCTGGAAATTCTTTGTTCAAAATCAGTTGGCTAAAGAAATGGAAGCAAGCCATCACAACAGTCCTGCAAGGTGGCAAGATAGTATGAAATCCACTTGTAACAAAACACAACAAGCAGCCTCCGATGAAGCTATAGGACTTTTTACTGAATTTTGGGCTCAATTGTGGTCCTAAGTCGAGGACTACCTGGGAATCTGATGGCATGCAGGAATGACGAAGCCTAAACAACGATGGCAGTTCGGGTAGATCTAATTGCTGTCGTTAGGCATCCCGTGGCCAAGTAATCATCAATTTGTACTGAAGCAGGATTAAAGAGAATGCAAAAAATGATCCTGGTTTGCAAGTAGCAGAAGGATTGGGAGATCAGCCTTAGAAAAGTGAAAAGATGCAGAGATATCTTTATTTATTTAAACATTCAGCCAGTTTTTAATACCGTTTTACATTTCAATTAAACATTTAGCCTTAAATGATATTTGTGACCATCTAGAGGGCAGCCTCTGGCTGACTTTGAATTTTGGAAAGCAAAGCAAAAGTCGGGGCTTTGGATACGGCAGTTTGAAGAGCGTGTTACTTTACTGAAATAATACAGGCACTTCAGTTAGTAGCTGCAATTAATGGCCTCAAAGCAGCTTCTTGGGTTGCAATTACGAAGGGCTTTAATTTTAGTGAAGGACTTGCAAAGGGCCACCTGCTGCTCCACCGCTTATGTAATTCTCATAAATTGTGGAGGAATCTCATCGATACGAAACATGGACCCGTCTCTTTCGTGGCAAGATGGACGGGATGAAATGTGTTAGCTGCAAGAATAATTTAATGTCAAATGCATTAAGTAAAAAATGCATCTCTTTTACTTCCTTGCAGGAAAATGAGTTGCAGCCCAGCAATTCTCCAAGTGCCCTTTGTCCTTTCAGTTTGCAAGGAAAATTCTTTTGGACCATTTCGTGGTCCAA